GGTCTTATATACAAGAATACCGCATATCTAGTAAACACTCGAGGCTTCACGAAGGGACATGCATTTTCTAGAAGCTCATGACGTGTTACTTGCGTCACGTGCTTTCCGCTGTCGTAACAATACCATATAGGCAACACTAACGTGTCGTTTAACTATTATGCGTGATGTATGTTTTTCGGGAGTGGTTAATGAAAGTGTATTAAAACGCAACAACAATTTCTTGACGACCTAATATATATATGTAGTCTAATAATTTCATTTCGAGTTTACTTACTGATTAAGTATTATCTAATCAAAAGCACCTTATGTGTAAAAAAAAAAGAGTACAGCCAAGAAAAGTTTGAATGAAATCAAAGTTGGCGGCCAAACTGGTAGCTACACTTAGAGCATTGATAAGGATTTTACAGCAAATACTCAATCATTAGTTAGCCAGGCCACGTTTTTTGTTCAACTTGGGGCATGATGGTGGGTAAAAAGTAAAAACGAGCAAAAAGTGAATAAATATAAAAATGTTGAACATATTATGCGAAATATTTGCATATGATTAGGAACGTCTAGGGAAATAACAATCAAAGACAAATATAGGTATGCTTGGGTTTTTGTTAATTGTGGGATTTTTTAATTCATTAACGAGACTTCAATGATTTCTATTCTATTAATGTCAAGTGGATGTTTTAATACTGTTACATTCTGTTTAGAAAAACTGTGGTTGTTTTTGTTTGAATGTTCATGGACTTTGGAAGGGTTTTTTTGGTGTTCTTTTAACGTGATCTTCAAGTTACTTCCTGTTTCACTTTAGTTTGTAAATATTTCCTGGTGAGCTGAGTTCGTTATATAATTTTCTTAACATATGTTTAATATTCATTCCAGGGGTGAAAATTGATCTAGGCGTTATATTAAGGTTATATTTATGTGCTAGTCTTTTCCAATTTCTGATAGAGTTATGATAACATTTTCTATATATGAAATAGTGCAAGTGATTAGATTTCCTTTGTTTTGTGACCATAAGCTAGGCACTCTACAAAACCTCCTACATTTAGCATACACTATTTGCACCACAGAAAACATCGATGAAGTTGTGTACTTAACTCAATGCTTTATTAACGTAAACCAGTTCCTTACTAAAGTAGTTACAGAAACTATTAACGAGTTAAAAAAAAACACACAGACAAGAGACTACTTATTAACACAAAAACTGAAAGAACACTCAACAAAAACAAGGAAACCCAATCACTTGCACTATTCTGTACATATTGTTACGACAGCGGAAGTCACGTGACTCTAGTAACACGTCATGATATTCTCGAAGGTTCGTGAATGCTGGGGTGTTTCCGAGATGAGCGGCAAGCTTGTATATAAGACCGCCAAGAAGTGACGGCAAGAATGGAATTGAATTGCAGACAGAGATAGAGACGGACAATTGAGTCAAGCGTGTGAATCGTTCATTGTGAATTATAGCATTTGTTTAAGTTATAGCGTGACT